AATTAGTGTTCTACCTCTGTGTGTAGCAGATTTGTAATTTTCATATGAGACAGTTAAGGAGGAGGGTAATACCTTATTATTATTTAAAAAGTTAGGTAAATTATAGAGAATTTTAGGAGTGTTTATGACTGGGTATGAAATAGTAGAAGAGTAGATTTTAGGTATAAAAGGAGAGAAGATAGGAATACTAGGAAGAGTAGTAGCTTTTTTTGCAAGAGAGTCAGCTAGATTATTATGTTTGTTAGAAGAGTGCCCTTTCACCCAAAAGAAATGGATAGGGGCTAGATGATTTTGTATTAGAAGAAGAATGTTTTGTATAATATTAGAATTAACAATATTAAATCCTGTCTGTGAGTTTTTAATAGACCAGATACATATAGATTGAATAGAGTAAGTAGAGTCTGAGAAAATGTGACAGGTTTTAGTAGGAGAGACTAATGAGAGTGCTTTTAGGATTGTATAAAGTTCAGCTCTATTATTTGTCTGAGAGGGTCCAGAGGTTCTACCATACCAATTATTTGAGGAGTTTAAACCAAAGACAACTGCTGAGCCAGCAGAACAGTTTAAATTATTTGAGTATATACAAGATCCATCAGTATATATTTGTACAGGATTTGTTTGATTAAAAACTTTGCCAAAGAGAGAGGAATGAAGAGGGTCAGAGTTAGTAGAATTTAGTGTATCATATAATAAAGAGTCAAGTTCTGTAAGAGGTTGAGGGAAATTTAAAAGAGAAGAGTTATTAAGATTAGGAGAAATAAGTGGTAAAGAGAGAGAAGAGGGAAATGAGATGAAATTTGATAGAGAGAATTGAAGTAGTGTATGGTCTGAGAAAGAGTAAGGTAGTCTAGTAATAGATAGTGTAGGAGAGAGTTTTATAGAGTGACTAGAGAGGATAAAATAGTCAATAACAGAGGAGCCTTGTTTTTGAAAGGAAGTGAAATTCCCAGATAGGTCAGAAGAGATTTGAGTACCATTTAATATGAAGAGATTATAGTCAGAGAGAGTTTGTAACAGGTTTCTTCCTCTTGTATTAATAGAGTGATCACAAGAAATTCTGGGAAGGTCAGGAAATTTAGAGGATTGCTGAGAGGCAGTTCTAGCATTAAGATCTCCACACAAAATAATAGGAGAGTCTAGAGTAGAGTGTAAGGCTAGAGTCTGAGAAAGTTGAAGGAGTGGGTTTATTTCAGTCCATAGATACTATTTGGAGGATTCTGGAGGAATGTAAGCATTTATGATAATAGTATTGTTAAGCTGTAGAACTTGAATATCAGTTGATGAGAGGTCGGTTCTGTAGTTTGTGTACTAAGAATATGTACTTAGATACAGTGGGCAAATTCCTTTCCCACGGGGTGTCCACATGTAGGTCAGACGCGTCAAACGACACTTTTTGACTTGTCATTTTATAAAATCAATAAAATATTTAATTTTTACTTTTTTACAAAAATAAAACCAGCATATTGTAGACAAGATGTTGTAATTTATAATTATAACTTTTTGTATTGTATAAGGGTTGTGGTGAATAGAAATGGGTGAAATAGTCTTAAATTGACCACATGGGGCGCCACGACAGTATATAAAAATAAAACGACTTTGATCCACTGTTGCATATATTTTTAATAAATGTGAACCAAACGGTGAAGTGGTTCAAATACCCTGGTTGCCATCAGAATCTGTAGACGAAATAGAAGTGGAACAATAAGCAAACGTACGACAGAATATTCCTTGTTTCCTTCTCATAAAAACTTTAGGGGAAATCGAATTAACACATTGCTATGGGAGGTTCATCTCTACCCGAAGTGGTGACCTCAGTACCAGTGACAGCAAATTGACGAGGGGGCGAAGGTTTTCGAAGACTGCAAATTCAACCACATAGGGGGTCTTGGCAATAACATCATCGTGTCATCGCACGCCTTGCGGCACCCGTTAACTCCGTCATTCACTACTACAGCCTACGAATGGAAATAATGCGGTTCATCGTGGAAGCGTAGATGTTTTTCAATATAAATTACAAAATAGATGCGAGTGAATTCGAATTCACACGTGCCGGAACAATTCTTTGCAGCAAGGAAAAATAATACTGTCAGCTCGTTACAAATTTCATTCTATATTCATATTCATACTTCAAAATCCCTTTGTCCAGTTACAGTAGCTAAACAGGGATATATCTCTTACTTATACAACTTTAAAGTATGGCGTACTTAGGATGGCAATATTTCCGTTCGATATGTGCGAATATGCGAAAGCGAGATAGCGAGATAGCGTAAACCAAAGCATGATGTCAACCGATTCCACGAACGACGGATCCGAAGTCCCGACTTAAAATGCAAGACCAAGCGAACGTCAGCTAGGCATTACTCGTCTTTATCGCTGGTAAGCCACAATTTCTCCTTTCTCTTGTGCCATAAAACCATCAAGAGAACTTCCGGAATACTCTTCGTCAATTCTTGTGCCTGTAACACAAGAGTTCAGTACTCCATAGCAGAAGCAAGGAGGGTTAGTAATGGAATGTTAAAAAAGACATACCCGATCTTTGTCGAATGACGACCAATTACACATAGAGTCTAGATTGGTGGTTTTCATGAAATCCGGAGCCTTGTCAAGTTTGATACGTTTCTTTGCCGATCGTTAGTATAGTATAATACACTCTATAATAGAGTGATTACTCACAGCGCTTCTATCAGTAGGGCCCTTGTTGTTTGCCGGTTGCATAATTTTAGTATACTAACAAACGCCGTGAGTAAAATAAGCATCAGCAACAATATTTGGTTACTCACGGTTTTCATGCCTGATGAGCTATATTGGAAGGAGTAGGAATCACCGTGAACTGCAACATTGGACTTTACAGCGAGTGGGTACAGTTCTAAAGGGATGCTTGACGAGATCCGTAGTTTGTATATCTCCTTGAGGAAGAGCCTTTGCATGAAATCATGCAAATGAAACTCGAACGGCTCGCCATGGCCTGTGTATAAAACATTGTACCACGGTGTCTTGAGATAATAGTAAAAAACGTGAAGCATATCGAAAAAATCTGCTTCAAAACCAGACGAAGGCAACTCGTGAGGGAACGGATCTGAATTCCCACGTCCAGCTTTCTTTCTAGCTAATTGCCCAAATACTTCACCCCTGTCAATCTGCTTCTTGTAAAGGTCATCGTCTGATATTTCCTCTCCCTCGCGCACCATGCGAGAGAAAAACAGGAGACAGAGATAGTAGACGGACTCGGCATCATGCATGGCACCATGTCGGAATGTTTCCTCCGGATTCTTTCTGTTCACATAACGGATGTGACCTAAATCACGGTAGAAGCCTTCCCATTTTGCTTCTTCCCCATTATGATATTGCTTAACGCTACTGGCAGCGGCTACCTGAATCATGTCCACGTCATCCTCGACAAACGAACGCATATGTCTCTTGGAACGGGGTTCCAGAACGTCCCTGGCCATAAACATCGGTGTACCCTATACGGACGTCACAACTGAAACAGTGGACCTTTACAAGATAATCTTACCGTGGCATGTTTCAAGTCATCGGTCTCAGATGTCAAGTCTCGTGCATTATCGAAATCGGCGAGTGCAACTCGAACGCGTCGTCTGAACAGAAGTCTAGAAATAAGCCCGACACATAGCAGCAAAGAGGCGTACGGTTTAGTGTTTTGCAGTGTATTATCCCTAGGTATATCATCCTCGGAACCATAATAATCCGATATAAATTGATACTTGTCCCAATTTGCTTCTTTCTTTGGTATTTGAGGTGTATCCTTCTCAGGAATGAGGACGTTTCCCCAGCTAATGTCCCTATGCAAAACATGCGCCTCGCAGACGTGATAACGAAGTACTGGATAAGGGTTAAGCATATGGATATGCGGGGCATATCATTATTTACCTTCGAGAAGATCGTACATAGTTTCGAGGAACTCTAGAACAGATCTGCAAGATGACACAGACCGCCCTATCGTTTCCTGTACTACAACATTTTGGTTTCGACCACTCTCTGCGTCATGTTGAACGGAATCACTCGACAGCTGTTCGTCAATGCGCACTACACCTGGTGCATCCTTCAGCTTTCCTAGGAAATACCGTTCCCTCGAATGATTGTCGTCCAGATGCCAAGACCACTTAACCGCACGATGAAGCTGGAAGTCATCTGCTGCGAAGCCCAATGCGACAAAAGGCTTGCGCCCGTTACCTCTCCCAATAAATATCGGAATGAGATAAAACAGTTTGCCATCCAAACAAGTGGTGTATAGCGCGATAGACCTGCTCTTCCCATTGTCCAATGTAATTAGAAACTCCGGAACGGGAACACGCTTATCTCGGGCTTTTGAAGCTTCAATCCAAATGAGTTTGATGGACTCGTAAAGTTTAAGGATTGGTGTCTGATCATTCTTCTTCCAGTTTACTGGATCCCAGATACCATAGCCGTCCAAGTTGAGAGAAATGAGCTGAAAGCGATTCGTGTTGATTATAAGACTATATTGAAGGGATGATCCATGCCTATGCCGGGCAAGTGCGAAACAGTAACGTTCTCCTTGCAGTAGTGGATTCTCCTCGACTTTACACTCGACAGCTACTTTGATCTCGTGGGCAGAGGGGACTTCTATCTTGTAGTTTGCCTCATTGACCAGCCGTTCCGCGTTCTCGCATTTGACGAAAAAGCCTACTAAGTCCGGTTTGTCTCTTGATCCGTCCGTTACCTTCAGATGCACATTATGGTTCGGCACAAAAGCAATAACCTTGTCGTCTTGGCAGACATCAAGACTAATAAGGGTCAAAGCCTTTGCAAGTGGTCCATACATTGGTACTTCGTCTTTCTTCGCTCCTTCCTTCTTCGCTCCTTCTATGGATTCACGAATCAACTGTTCCACACGGCTGAGACTGGCGGTACTTCCAGTGTAGTCGGGTAATGCGTATTCCTTCTTCGCACCACTGTAGACACCAAAAAAACCTTTAAACCCGGGGGCGAAATCTGGGTATATTGCTTGCGAATCTTTCCCCAATCGAAACGTAGAGGATGAGGTCGTCATGGTCGTTTGTGGCTTGTGCAAGTGCAGGCTTCACACAGATCAAGAACCTTTTCCTTTGACCGTCATGTCGTGGTAAATTCCCACGGTTTGGCGTAGGGGGGGTCCTCACCCACAATGTGTCGGTCAACACAGTCCCAGCAATGCCTAGTCATAGGCAGCACACCCACTGGCTGTACCGACTTTCGGTACTAGTCTACCCCTTTGACAGACGCCCGATCGACTTCGATCGTGGCCAATGTCTGTTAACGTCCCACATGCGCCCTTTTTTTTTATCTTTCAAGGGCTTGCATACTCTTTGTGTTCTGGACTTTTCTCCAGGCCCAGAGGATTGTCTTGTGTATGGAGTCATACTTATAGGCTAGAGACTTTGAGATGTACCCTCAGATTAGGCTGGGAGCTCGAGGGCAATGTAGGAACTTTGGTTCCTCGCCCAGACGGCTGTACCCCTTCCTGGGCTGGGTTCTCTTAGACTTGATGCAATACAAGTTACCCCACCTGCATATTTCCCTCTATACCCCTGTTCCTCTTACTTTTATTATTATTGTGTACACTGGGTGAATGCCGTTTGTAGTAAGATACGCGTCTGATAAACTCGACAAGCTGTGTGACTCACGTGATGAAACCTTACCTTCCTAATGCAGCCTCCACAATGAGCACGAAACTTGTCCATCCAGAGACCCAAAACTCAAAAAGTAGCACCATTGATTTGTTGTATTAAGCCTTCTCTACAAAATGATGGAACAGAATTTCTTAAAAGTGAATATTGGCTGAGTTATTTTGCAAACTATGTTTTTTGCTCTAAATGCTGTAATTATACTTTTCCAGCAGTCTGGTAATTTTTTAATTTTTTTCCTTCAGATTTCGCCACCATTAGATAAGGATATATGACAAATAATTGCTATATATGTATATTACATATTAATATTTATAATATATAGTATTTGTCATAATGATCGGATGGTGTAATCATCTTGATAAAGCTACAAAATTATAGATACAGACTGTAATGGTCAAATATTTTATTGTTGTAATATTTAACTCTATCTGAAAATAGGCAAGATTCTCTTCTCTGTATTATATAGAATCATCTTTGGCTGAGGCAAAACTTCAAGTCAAAGTTACACTCTGAAATTTCGCCGTAAGGGTCCTTCCTAATTTGGTAAGCGATGGTTGTGACCGTGACGTGACTGGCTTGTTGAGTTTATCAGACGCATATCTTAGCTAGTAGGGGCGCTTCACCAATATGACAAGAATCGTGATGATCAGCTGAGTCATCGGAACGATCACGTGATTTGATCTGACTTTCCTATCTTGGATTTGGATTTGGTGGCTTCGGTAATATATTGTTGTAAGTGGACCTTGATACAGTGATTATCCCCTCGCAGCAAGAGGTTTGTAGCACATTTTCTTATCCTTTGAGCCAACTTGCATCCGGGAAATCACAATGTATGATGCATTCTTAATGTCTCATTGGGAATTCGAAGAGTAGTAGCAGAGCCAGGCATTTGAAATCGAAAGTGCTGATGTCGTTTGATAATTATAACGTGTAAGTGTCGGAAGGAGGAGAACGAATATATCAAAGAGTAGTAGATCGGGACAACAGATTTATACCAATGCACAAACGAACAGATTACACTATAACCAGATTAAGATGCCTCTGTCTTCACCCTCTTCATCGACCGAGATTCTACATGTTCCTTGAGTAAATTGACATCGAAGTAGATTCTAGACTGTGCGACGTACTCGAGGGCTCAGCGCTAACACTATGCCCGTTCAATTCAGTACCATCATCAAAGGTTCGTTTAGAGCTAGGGCCAGTCTTTGGTCCACCGCCTACAACACGTTTAGATAAGTAAGGAATTCATGCTTTGACACCGATGGTTTATTAAGCGGAAACCCACCTGTATTCTGGGGAGTACTGGATATGTATTGATTAATGGTATCGACCAGTGAATTACTCGGTGTGTAAGCTAGAACGATTGTTTATAAATGATGGTTAATTTTAATCAGTGGCAATTGCGAAAGACAGACCTTCTCCCTGCTTAACAGTTGGTCCATCTTCACTCTTTACGACTGGCTTTGTACCTTCTAGATCTTCTCGTTAGAATAGTTTATTCCGCACGAGAACATGAATGCAAGCTAAACCTTCACTGGAAATAGAACCCAATAAAGACGAAACAGCCTCAGATAATGCCGTTGACGGACGATACTCTGTACAAGTAAGATAAACATTTTGCGACGAGACCAATCTTTTCCAGTGCGCACCTTCGTTTCCTATATTAGGCTTCGTGTCTTCTATTTCAGACTTGAGACGTGAAGCAAGGCGAGCTTGTGCGGCAGCATCTAATTTATTTCGAAAAGATAAGGATGGGCTTCAAAACATAGGAAAGATTGGAATGAGAACCTTCTTCGTAAGGATCGAGCTTATCGACTTTACCAGATTTAGTTTCTTCCGGTTGACTCAGTCTAAGTCGTGACTGCATCTGCAAGGGAGGTTGGTAAGGAGAAAACGAGCTCGTTGGGTTATTAGCCTGTGGTGCGTCATTGGAACTGCTGGTATCTTCTGTGATTTCTTGATGGACAGCTGTAAGTAGATCATCCACGCTTGGCTTCGCCTCGTAATCAGGAGGCCGATGTTGCCCGTTCACGCTGATTGGCTGGGAGGAACGTGCATCTGGCTCTTCGGTGTCGCTTAGATTTTCATCCGGTGCTTCTTCGTAGTCAGGTTCTGGTGGATGAGGTATCGGGATAACGAGAGTTCGCAGCCTCTCATCTACAGGAGGTATCTCCGTCCACTCTGGATCCGGGTAGTCCCAGTTGATCATGATGTTTTGAGGTAGGTCATCTTGTTTGGGGAAGAACTCTGTCCATTGACCTGACAACAAAAGATTGAAGATATTTTAAGAAAAATTACTTCTGCAAAGGTGGGAAGTACTACTTGTGAGGAGAGTCAACTCACGCTCAGCCGGATCACCTTTCAGCGTCCAATTGTATAAAAATATGTAGGAAACCTTGTCAGCCAGGTTGACTAGGAAGTACCCGAGTCGGTCAGGTGGTGTAAGCAAGTGCGGGGTTAATAACTTAAGGGACGTGCGTACTTTTGCCTCGGGTCTCGCGTTTAATCTTATCTACGTTCACGTATCCCATAAACTTTATCCATCTATGAAGCCCTAATCCGACTTGTACATCAACTGAAGGGCTGAGTCGAGCTATGACCTCGTCTCTCTTCAAATCTAGTCAGCCACAGGATCGAGATGCTGTTTGGACAGTAATGCTAAACGCACAGTATCCATGGTGTAGATATTCAGAATGACATTCTTCTCGTATGGTTTACGAAATGCAATCCTGAGCCATGCTCCAATCCAGTCAATTTGGGTTTGTTTTCGAGGAAGGTCAAAGCTTTTCGCCCAAGGGTTTATTATTACGACGTAATGATCGTCATTGTCTTTTTCATACGTGGTTCGCTTTAGTTTCTTGGGCATCCTTGACAGTACCAAGACACACGGATTACAATGAGAGTAGAAGTGACGGAGAGGACTGGAAAGTGGGCCTGCGCAGGTGATTCCGAGGTGATAGGACAGAACAAAGAGGCGAAGAGTAAAGTCGTGGCCGTGGTAGATTAGATATACCAGCACAGCAGATGATGCAACAAGCACTCGATATTGATGAGTCCTAGTTGCTCTGTTTAAAACGTACAAAGGCAAGTGTTGCCTATTATTTACAGCAGCGTGGTGGTGGTGAAGCACTGAAATTGAAAGATCACCACAAAAGGAGAAAATCGCGAGTCGCGTAGCACGTGCTGTGCTCCCACCCACAGATAATCAATAACGTCTTCTCTCCTTCTGCATCGTTACATGTAACTCGTCTCATTACCAGGATTACTTTTTGCTTTTTTCCCTAGCGCCGATTTGGAGTGTTTCACTCGGTCCTCATAATAAATTCTGCTGGTAGCATTTCTCTGGGATACGCTTCATTTTTTTTCGCAAAGTACCTCAATGTCGGACACTTGTCTGCGCGAGAGGCCTGGCAGCCATCCAAGTGCCATCTCTCGCCAGCTTTATGACAGAAGCCCCGGTCGTGTGCTAACGTCGCTACCAAACTCAACTCGATCGTTATCTACTCTCCCATACGACGTTCTGCTTAATATCGCGGAACTTTTAGAACCTGACGATGTTATGAATTTACGAAGAGTGCGTAAACTTCCAGTTAATGCATTTTCAATTCAACTCTCTCATAACGTACCTGCAGACTTGTAAATCTCTCCGAGACTTTGCCCAATCTCGTGCGATATGGCTCACTTTCGCAGCTAACATGCTCGATGCTTGCAAACCGTTACCATTGAATGGATTCCAAAGAATACGAGACCTCCACACTCCAGCTCTCTCAAACTTAATACGGCGTGGACGTCGTCTACATCATATTTGGACGCAAACGGACCCGAAGCTTATCAGACCATACAAACAGGTTGCTGCACCTCGACATGAAGATGTTGTCTGGTTATCACCGATTACATCAAAATATACTTTGTGTTGTACGAGGACGGGCAGGGTGCTTTGCTGGGACGTAGGTAAAGCCGAATGTGTTGCATCATGGTCTTCGGGCGCAGACTGGGAGATATGGAAGTGTCGAGTCGAGTTTGAGGAACGAATCGTGTATTTCGCAATGGCGAAACGGGGTGTGAATGGGTAAGCTGTATGATGAGATTTCCTAGCCCGTATACTCATGGAGTTTAGCTTTGGGACGGATTGTCAATTGATGGCCCTACATTTTCCTGGCGAGGACAACGGGTCTGAAGAGGCGCCCTACTTCAGCAAACTAACAAGCTTCTGCTTTCCTGGACATGTTATTAGCGTCTATCTCTTGGATCCCTTACGGAGATTGCTATCGGCATACATCTGGGTAGAAAGGACGAACCATCTCGGGTTGTACGTTCTCTTGGACTGGTCGATACCCCTATACGTCTTTTTAAATACTGGTATATCCTGCGTAAGCAACCCAGCTTCTCGAATCTTTTCTGACAAAGCTAATATTATTTTTAGGACCCCATGTCGCGCGAATGGTCCTGTATAGGTTACGACCCAGAAAATGTCGTCATCCATGCCGAAGAAGAAGTCCGAGGATACCAATTTTTCTACCCTTACACATTCCTTCAAACACTCGCAACACGTACTCCTCCGCCCGCGAGACAGACAAATCCACCACTCGTACCTCCTCCGCGTACCGTCTCTTCGGATTTTATCCCTACAGAAAACCCTTTTGAGAGCAAATTCATCACGCAAAGCTCGCATTTCGTTCGTCAATGGTGGCCCATGATTCCATACACGGAACGAATTCGCCGACGAAGTTGTACAATTCTACTGCAGACAATGACAGTACCACCTCCCGCGCCTGGTGGTCCACCTCTAGGTCCACACGACCCTCCCCCAGGCACTCATCTCTTCACTATTGCACAACATTACTTTAGCATACCATTACGTAAGGAACAGCTGCGATGGTGGTATATACGTGAACCGTTTGAGATCGTGTGTTATCCACATAACCCGAATGCAGAAGCACAGCAAGCGGATGAGGAGGTAGCGATTCCTGTACCACCGCAGGTATCTCAGCAGGCTATGGCTCAATTGCAGGCGGAGCATGAGGCTGCAGTGCTGGATGCGAACGCTGATGATAACGAGGATGAGGATACATATAGTGAAGTTACGCAATATGCAGACGAGGTGGAGACAGAAGTGCAATACCAAGTTGGCGGAGACGCCGACCCTGATTCCGACTCACCACTGCCTCTTCCAGTACCTCCACCAGCCGACGCATCGCAACAACACCAAGCCGCCATGGCAGCAGCAGCCGCAGCCGAACAAATGGACGACGGTGTTGCAGTCGTTCCTCTTGTAGCCGTCGACTTTGGTTGTGCTGCCTGGCTTGAATACGTCAGTTTTGGAAGCGACGACTTGCGTGTACGATACGTGACGTTCCCACCTGTTCACATTGACCGTGCTGCGGATGACTATGTTGGACTATCCTCGGAGAGAGACGTACATACGCTTGAAGTACCACCGGAGATTGATTTGAAGCATGTATGCCATATTGGTTTGGATCAAGCGCAGGGGACGATTATCCTTGGGATGCGGAGGAGTAATGTGTATATTTTGAGATATCACTGAGCGCTAGCGATTTTCCTTGGTTATTTGGTTGGGTTGGTACGTTTCTACTTTGGGTTATTTTCGAGTTGATTTGTTGATGGAGGGGGCTTATTGGATTGGACTAATGTAAATCAATCATAAACGATATCCAGGAAATTGTGCACTTTCATGTATATCCCTGATGATGTATATCCTTGTATTTGTATATCCAGACATAGACACGAGTATCCCACTTCAAACGTATTTGAAAGAAGTTGTAACATGACTCGTCATTAAAATTCATGGCGTTAGAGGTTACGATATCCAATTACTTGTAGTGAACAGAAAAAAACAGTGATACGGAACTGGGATATAGCTACAGTGATAGCTACGCTCATATCGTACATACACATGCAAGCCAAAGCAAAAATATAGAAAGCTCATTGAAACCACCAGAGGTCAGACTACAAATTAAACCAAGACGGAGAAATAAACGCCCTCTGTTGAAAGGAAGGCAGAGGCCGAAAAGAAATCTTACGACAAAAAATCAGAACCGAAGGGTAAATCACAAAATGACGGACCCGAATTAGGTGCAGAAATCAAAATTGAGACATTCATATTGTGCAAAACCTCCGCACATCCTACGCCGTCCGACCAGCAGTGTTAAGTTTCACCACCTCCACCTGTCACGCCAGCACTTTCACCGACACAAATACCACTAGTCTCGCTCGCGTTCCCCACTATCCCAAAGAACCTCGAGTCCTGGAACAAACTCCGCCACGCCTCCATATCCTCAGGTAACATTGGCAATACACTCTCTTCGCCTGTTGAGGAACGCATGTCGAAGCTTACATCGAAGTCGGAGGTGAATGCGCTCTGTGGCGAGAGGCGAGGAAAGGGCGGGAGGTTGACTGTGTTTGGAAAGGGAAAGGAGGCGGAGGTGTCGTAGACTAGGGGGTCGCCGAATGTTGGTTGTCGAGGTTGCACAGTAGGATTTTGACGAGGTTGAACGTGAGTTGGTGGTTGTGCAGGCGGAAACGTCGAAGGAGAGGCTGAGTTTGACGGGCCGACATTGTCGACGAGCATGTCAGGAAAGTTGGTGAACGCGCTGAACACATCCAATCCACTGGGTGATCTAATGGAAGAGAATTGGGAAGGGCTAAAAGCCTGCTCTCGCAAATTCGTTGGATTGTAGGTAGTTTGGTCAACTTGCATGAGCGAACCGCTAGTAAATGCGCTCGTATTTGGTTCGCGTTCTCGGTTAGAAGCATCAACACGACCAGTCTGATCAGGGTGTTGATATCCCGAACTGTCGCGCTTGTTCTGCGTTGTGTTTGTCCTATCCGCGGTCCACGTCTGTTCTGTAATTGTTCCGAAGGCCAAGGCGCCAGAGTGTTCCTGTGAGTGCTGCGCATTCACACCGGTAATTGATGGCCCGGATACAAACGATGGAGACGAGCGCGAAGGCGGCGACTTCGCAGCAATCTCCGGATCTTGCAAGATATTAACCCGATGTATTGGTTCAGGAGCGGAATCAGCTTTAAAATTTCCTAAGGCCTTCTTTCCATCACTAGGAAACTCTTTGTTTTCTTCTTCAGAACCTGAGCTGAAGGCAGGGCTAGAGATGATCTGTGATGGGACGAGATGCCCGTGTCTCAACAGTGCTTGTTGTGCTTGTTCTCGCAGGGTGAGTAAAATAGCCTGAGGGAAGCGGAAATGGAAATTAGAAGTAAGCGCTGTGACTCGAGTGAACGGTAATTGACGGGAGAAGACGCACCAATGCACTTTTGACGAAAGGATGTACCTGTGCTTTTAGGAACATCTCAACGGCGAGGTTGAACTCCACATATGCCTGCGGTGCAAGTGCGGACTCCGATCCATTTGCAGCAATGGAGCCGAGCATCGTGGCTCCGTGTAATGCGTGAGCCCAGATAGGCCAGACCCGCATAACGCAGTGTGGGTTTAAGTCGAACTGAGTGCGAGTAACACGTAGCAACGTTGTCGCGCTGCGATACGTGGAGAGGAATGACGGCGCGAATTGAGAGCGCATTGGATTATCTGGATGTTCGATCAACGCACGAGCAAAGAAATGGCGATGAATAAGCATTAGAACTTGGTGTCGGTCACGATAGTCAGCAACATGCCAAGACGATGATGTATAACCCGACACATACCCATGTCTCTAAGGAGATTAATCTCAGCGCAACATAATCCTCGCATTCCTGTACTATCATATCCCTGCGGGTATGAGAGTATTGGACCTTTACTCGGACCAAATGCACGTATCCTCTGGTCCAAAGCCAATATTTCGGAGTACTTTACAGGGCGAAGCGTACCGAGCTTACTAACAACGTCAGTCAATATCTCTTTGACATATCTATGACGCAGCCTCCATATTGCTAATGTTTAATTGAATCAGGTCCTTCAGAAAAAGGCAAGAAAGTGATTTAAGGGACGCACAATCTTCTCCCTCTGCCTCACACTGCGTATTAACAACGTCCGAATCGTCCGGGAATTCACAATCAACGACAGCAGGGCTGAATGTTGCAGGTCGTCCGGGACCAAGACTCTGGACAAGACGTGAACGTCGAATTAAAAATGATAGGAAACCAATACCTACTTTCCACACGTCAACCGAATATAGTTCCCAGAACACACGTCTCCTTCGTTGAATGAGTTTCGGCGAAAGGTTGAAGTGAGCCGGATCACGGTCTACATCGTGCGCAAAAAGAATTCAGAAATAGCATATGTGCAGAAGCTGTGTTACCCACTTAGACCGATCTGTTGCGAAACGGTCAGACAAACTGCTAAGAGAAACATGAAAAGAGAAAAACAACGCACACTTGCTGCAAGTGACAGAGCGAACGACATCATTTTCCATGTCCCCTCAAGATCTCCCTTGCGACACGAAAATAATTCATATGAACCTAACAGAGCTATCGCTTGAACGGCGTGAAGACTAGCACCTTCGAAAACGGGCTTGAGACTAAGCGCCGTTCGAGCGAGGTGATAGTACAAATCTGCTTCGTCGTTCCACGGAGGAAGCGTTAGATCTGCTGTTGCGCCGCATGCGAAGACAGCAAGCAGCAGTGCCAGAGCATGTGGGTCTATCGCAGATGAGGCGCTCGATACGCTACTCTCAGATGAACCAGGGCTACTTTGATCTGAGCCGGGAGTCTGTCGCCGCCGTCGATAGATATCAGGAATTAGCTCTTCGGTAATTTGTTCGCGATCTACTGGTCGGAAGAACCATGATAGATTTTCGAGGTAGGCTTCAACGAGGGAAGATGCGCGGAGATACGAGGGAAGTTTCTCTTCAATATATGCCTGTATTTCCTGTGCGGGTAAGAAGAGTGGAGTGAACGGGAACGTCCTGCTGAGGTATGAGACAGACGCTGGGAGTTTCAAACTCGAGTCCATCATCGACAACATGTCTGGCACACCCAGATGTCGCTTCAAGCAAGTTAGCTAGAATTTATAAGAATGTTCTCGTAGGTAGCTCACAATAAGTAGTGCCTATGCAAAAATGTCAGCTGCAATTAAGACTGAATTCGGATTGTTACGCACGTCGGCGCCCCCAACGTATGTCTCCGTCCCTTTGTCGGTAACCGTCAATGTTCCAAAATGGTCTAGAAAGTCCACCCCGACAAGGTCCTCCTTCTCCGGCGGACCTTGCTGGGTGGTGGCATTTTTTATTGCTAGAAGGTCTTCTGCAAGCAGCGGGTGCTGCGAAGAAAAGACGGAGCTGTGCGATATTTGAAGCGCATCTTCGAGTTGTTGTATTCGCTTTGCCATAGTCGAGATCTTGTCTTTGAATGCACCAGCTTCTGCAGCGCCAAGCCGAGAGCCCTGACCAGGTGCGAGAGTTCCTGTACAAGGATACGTTAGAAACGTGGCGTAAGGCCTGTTTCTGGTCAAAATAATCCTCACCGTTTGGGCATATAGATTGACATCCTTTCCGGACGCAAGAACTGCAAGGAATCTATCTCTCTGTGAGTCCGAGGAAATATTTAGTTTCCATGGAATACATACCGCCTTATCGCATTTTAGTTTATGTCTGCAGAACTCGGTATCAAAACACGTTACAAGACATTAAATGACATACCTGCGGCACTCGGCGCAAGATATTTCACCCCTAGCTCTCCTCTGCTCGACTGGGTCCTTACCTCTCATTGTCCTTTCAGAGGGGGGCATTAAGCGACGATTGTCAGGGGGGAAGAGATGCGTAGCTGGACCTGCAGGATATACGGTTATAGCAGCTTATGCAAGCGTCTGAAGTAGATTATGATGAGAGAAGAAGCGCGAGAATTCTGGTTACCTATGTATTTATCAGTCTCATCATAATCATTTTGGTATGGCTTCATTGTTACGGGAATAGTCGTTGGCTGTGCTCGCTTGTCATTTCTCTGACACGCTAAGTTGGACTCACTGCGATTGAAACGGCCTCGATGAGCAAGTCCTTCGGCAGCTTTGTCCTGGAATGAAAACACGTGCCCCCACGTGGATCACCAACTCGGTGACCGTTTCATTACTCATTTTACTCATTCTCCAATTCTCCAGTTCAACGGCTTTCTGGCATAAGAATATGGTTGGAACATCATTGCATTTTGCACGCAAACTGAATTCAAGATGGTTGTGAATTGGTCAGTCGGAACAAACGTTGCGCTTACTAACAAGGTTGCGGACAGAGATACGATTCGGGGATTTTCGCCGAGAAGCAAATGAGAATTCGCATTTTAGGTCGAGTCATGGGCGGTGAACGGAACCGATTTGTCAGTCAGAACCATTTCCATTGACCGCAGCAGGGCATGGATCCACGTTTGCTTGAGTGGGCAGATCTAGTAGATCACCTTTAACGTCATAACAGACTTGCAAGACAGCATCCGGATTCTTCCTGACTATGAGGCACCATCTCACCTCAAAGAGCGTCAAGGCATCCATCTGTTTTACGAAGCGTCCAACAACATCGACAATGCATAGGTTTCATGATTTGTAGGGATCTTACGTGCAAACGGTTTGTTTCGACGGTGGATCAACCCACTGATCAACTCTCCCAAATTGATACTGTAGTACAGGTTGTCGCCGTCGAATGTCTTAACATTGCAAGATGTGCCAAGATATTCTAGGCCTCTCTAAAGCTCCAATATTGCTGTGCAGCAAAATGTGGAATCCTATGCAGGAATTGCGTGTTTCGCACTCGTTCTTTTATCGACCCTTCTTCCATTTCTTGCAGGCGAGTAGTGAACATAACTTCGTGGTGATCGCTTGAACAAAAACTAATATTAGGTCTGAAGCTACGCGGGCTACAGAGCCGCGTTCAAACTGCCTGTTTTGTTTTTGCTGGAGTCAAGGTACACATTTATTATGCATTTATCTCAAGCATGACTCGGAAAAAAATGTCCTCCGACTTCTCGAAGTCAGACATCGGATTCTCTCAAAGATGCGCTGTCACGGACAATGGATCAAAAGAGACTTCCTGGTCCCATCGTTCCACCTACGCATCAGGCGCTAAGTATAGTAGGAAGCCTGAGTGTTTCCGGCCACTAGGAAGCCAATAGTGCTTCTTTAATGTTTCAAATCCGCATGGAAGTCGCACGATTGTACGACCATCAGCAAACGTCCACCGAGTCACTAGAAGCGTCTCAACTCAATTATACCCGTACTGTCGCGGCGCCCCTTGCGGGCCAGACCCACATGTGGGCCATTTTACTATTCCTCCCCCAAATTTTGCTCAAACCTCATAAAAATTTGTAGATATGTAGCTAAACATCTAATAAATATATATCTAAAAATTTGAGACGGAATAATGAGCAGTAAAAAAGTTATTATACTTACAATCTGAAGAGTATGAAAAATTACACTTTTGGAGTGAACCAAACTCTTTCCCACACAATT